AAAAAAAAAAAAAAAAAACATTGTAGGATTGATTGGAGAGAGAAAGATCCTGACTGAATGCTCTATAAAATTTTAAACATAAAAGTGAAAATGAAAATAAATAAAATAATAAATCTCTAGTTTAAGTGGTATTTTCAAAGTTCTATACATGTGTGTACTAGAGTTCTTGGAACCGGGCCATATTTCTAGTTTGTTTATACAGCATAATATCACTCCCAAAAAAAACAAAAAATTAAAAAAAATAATAATAATAAAATTGTTTGCAAATAACAGGCATAGTCAAGTCCCTCGATACTTGGACGAATTGGAATGTAACATCATAACATTAAACAAGCTCAACAGACAGTCTCTATAAACGAATTGGAATGTAACAACATAACATTAAACAAGCTCAAAGTCTATATAGACGTTGGTATGTAACATCATAACATTAAACAAGCTGAAAAGACAGTCTCTATAGACCTATCGACTTTTGGCGAGGTTTGTTCTTACCCGATAGTAACATGTGTTCATTTGCTAGCTCCTCCTCCTCCTCCTCAAGTCTTCTCCTTCGAGCAGCTTCTTCCTTCTGTCTTTGAATCAATTCCAACTCTTTGAGCCTTTCTTCTTCCTTCCTCTGCAGCTCCATAGCTTCTCTCCTCTGAGCCTCTTCAACCCTCCTACGATTCTCTTCCAGCATCTTATCGAGCTCCTCTCTCTCCCTCCGAGCTTGTTCCTGTTCATGTGTGAGTATATATAGATTATGAAAATACCATACAAGAGTTAGTTACTAAATTTAGAGCCTCTTCAAATCATTTCAACTAAGAAATATAAAACTCTATCACAACCGGAAATGACTAAATTACTACTGAGTGCGAAGGAGAGGTAGAAGTAAAAGAAAGGATACATTGCCAATATTTTTTTTTTCTTCTTAATTTCATACGAGAGATGCTTAAAAAAAAATGTGATTTTTTTTCATCATTGTTATGTTTCAAGCAATGTTTCAAAATCTGGCCCAAACATTACATGGGTCCATGTCTTGGTCAACGGTTCAACCACTTAGCGGCTAGATCAAATGCAGAAGCAAACAATTATTTTGAAAATCTGTTTATTGTACATTCTTATTTTCTTTTCAAAATATATATAAGAGAAAGAAATAATTTGCAAGTAAATTATGTATTTTTAGAGTTCTCATATAATTGTTTGTTCCTAGTCATAAATGATTATTATACATGTGTCACCCAAAAAAAAAAAAAAGATGATAGTATTTCCCAAAAAAAAAAAACAAAAGAAAAAAGCATAAACTGTTAATGCACTGGTCGGCCGGCCAGGTGACATGCAAAACGGTCTGAGCACATGACCTAGCATGTGTTGCACCTCAGATCAGCGGGTTCCGGGTTGAGAAGACCAGGCTGGACCCGGTCTGAAACCAATGGTTTCCAGATTATCCAGTGGAACATTATTTTATGATTATAATTATATTCGGAGAAGGCAGAATGTATTTTCATTTCCATAGCCCTACGTTTCTATTGTAGGTTACATAGGTTGAGAAACAGCAACACTGAATGTTAGCAAGAAACATGTTAGTTAGAAAAACAAACAGATGAAGCACATACAAAAGAGAAGTTTCAAACTGAGTTGCGTATATTAGCACCACAAGCACTTACCTCCTTTCGCCTAGCATCAGCAAGAGCAGCTTCCTTTTCCTTTCTAAGTTTCTCTTCAACATCGTCAAACAACTTTTTCCGAGCTTCTTCAATTTTTCTTTCAATATCTAACTTGACTTCTTCAGAGGCCAATTTCTCCTCAACTCTTCTCCGAATCTCCTCCTCCAGTCTCCTTGCCGTCTCTTCTTCTAATTGTTTCAGCTCAGCCTCATTCTGCAGCCTAAAAGCACATAAGTTTGGTTTGGTAGGATGAACTTTCTAAAAAAGCTTGAGCTTATCTTAGATCCTCTCTACATAGTGTTTTAGAAAAGCCTATTGCGATTTTTGTTCAGCAAACTTATCAACTAATTTTACAACACACTTCTATTATATCAACTAGTTTTCCCGTCATAACTTAAAAGCTATCAGTTCGAATGTAAGTCTATGAGCATTAAGTTAACTAATCAGATAGCTCTAGCTTTTTAACTAGATTTACCAAACATATCCTAAATTCTACATAAACTCGTAACAAAAAAAGTCTTTCAAGGATAATACTTATGGAGCTTTCTTAAACTAGACTTTAATACATCCAGAACTACGAATAAGCAACTGAGGAACAACAGCACAAATAATCCCATCAGGCAGATTGTGATACATATAATCTCTCCTTTGTCCGAAGTTAACACGGAAAAGTTCCTCGGCTTAAATATCTGACTCATCCTTGTGTAACATAGCATTCGAGAATAAGTACCAAAATAGGCAAAAAAATTCAGACATTCCTCGAAAGACATCATAAGAAAAAGTCATAAAATTACATACATTTAACTTGCAAAATATATGATCTTTTGCGTATTGGCTAGCATTGCCATCATACAGATATGAGTCTTGATATATGTGAGTAATTCACTTCCCATACAAGGAGGGCTGTTATCTAACATACATACATTTCCCATACAATAAAAAACATCACTAACTATGACAACCCCACATGTCAATCACTACAAAGAGGGATTTTAAGGGGCAATGGTTGCTGTAAAAACTGAGACCTCCTACAGACTTCACTTTCTCTTTACATATGGACTTCCAGAATATTAATCATCGACCCAGAATATTTCGAATCAACTTGGATGGCGTGTGATACAAGTAGTTAGAAAACAAACAAAAAGATTAAAGAAAAAAGGAACCAAGAGTAGTTAATGGATAAACCAATACTGCAGATAGAGGGACTTGTTACTATACCTTTTCTTTTCTTCTTCTTCCTTTTTCAATTGCTTGGTATCAGAATTTGAGCTGGGAGTACTAGATTTTGGTGAAGGAGACAGAGAAGGGCTCCGGCTTATATGTCTCCGGTAACGCCTTGGTGTTGGAGAACGGCTCTTCCGACGCCTCAAAGCGGGAGATCGACTTCTCCGTCGTCTTGGTGTGACCGAACGACTTCTTCGCCTGCAGTAACAATTATTAATTGTAAAATTACACATTAAGTCTTCAGGAATTTATGATTGTGTGACTACTTGATCAATGAACAGGTTGAAAATCAAACTCTCTTCATAATCTCTTTTTACCATATCAAGTCTTGCTTGCATTCACTTCTAAGTGTCCAACACATAAGTGATTACTCCCCCATGAATATTTAATTTTCAGGCAATTTAAATTGATGGGTGGAATAAGGGTAAGGGTGACCAATAATAAGCATATACACCAAAACAAGGATTCAAGCTTACAACTTTCAAGCCCTGATTTCCAAAAAAAGTTACAGTATTGGGAAAAAATAAAGAAGAATGGTAATTAAGGTAGAGCAACGTAAGCGACCTGCTGTGAGGTGAACGCGAACGGTCGCGGCGGCGGGTGCTGCGGCGGTGATTCGCGGCCGGTGAGCGGGAACGGGAGTGCCGCCTCCTCGAGTACGACGGCGACCTTGATATACTGCGGGGCATTGCAGGTGTTTTGTTTTAATGCCCAAACAGTGAATGCGTATCGAAAGCTGTAATACAGATATACTAGTATCGTGGCCCGTGCAAATGCACGGAATTATTAAAAATAAATGAAATAAGAAAACATAAATAGAATAAATAATTTTATATGCAATTAAAATAGACTACTATATAAAATGTTTATATCTGTATATTTTATTTCTCATTATACATCAGTATCTTGTGTCTTTTTATTTGTAACTCGAGAAGCAACAATGTAAAGTTCAGAATTAAAAGCCTAAAAGTAGATTCCTATATATATATATGTATATATATATGTATATATATATATATATATATATTATTTAGTTTTTTATTAATAGAACAAATTGACATAGTACTAACGATTTTTTTATATAGTTTTTTTTTTAGTTTTTTTTATATAGTTTTCCATGAATTTAACAAATTTCTTTCTAAAATTGTTATTTATTTATTTATTTTTTTTTATAAAATCTAACGATGTGGATCAAAATTTATTGATAAACGAAAACTTGAGTAACTAAATTGATTTAATTGAAACATCATGTACTAAATGCGGAAATATATATATATATAGTTGGGGTATAAGAAAATTCTCAAATTATTTTATTATCTTAACACATTTTATTACAGTTTGTTTGAATTTATCATGTAATTTAGATCGTATTTTGACACTTGAATATATTATTTCTTACTTGTCTTGTTTTATAATTTATAATGTGATCTTATTAATTAACTATTATTTTCTATACATATACTTACAATTTTTTTATTTGTGAAATATTTTTTTATTTAAATAAGTACCATATTATTATCTAGTATCTTCATATTTTTAGGAAGACTTTAAATATAAATTATTATTTAACATACATCATAAATAATTCACCGTGATTCAAGATATCATGTACATGTAAAAAGAAATTTACTTTTGTATTAATGAGAAATCAAAAGAGACAAAACATTTTAAAATGCCTATCTATAAATGGTAATAACAAATATAGGTCCACTTTTACTATTAACCTATTATTAAAAATGAAAAAAAAAATTATTAACGGAGGTTGAAGCTCGTTTAATAAAATAATAAAAAATTGGAACTAACTTTTCATAAATAGTAATATAATGAGGGACCCACTAAAATACTTACTATTTTTAGTAAGTGTGTTGCCTAATTATATAGTAATAGATGTAACAGACAAAGTCACGAAGTACATCCCAAGACCAGACAGACTGAACTTGCTCCAAATCGCTACACAAAGTAGAAATCGTTACCCCAGACTTCGGGTATAAAGTATCTTTCGTTCTAGATATACTAATATTATTAACTAAGTTTATTGTACGAAACAAAAATTATTAAATGAGTTACTTTCATATGCTATGTCTGTTTAAGTTGGAAAGTAATAGAATTATTATATATTTTCTAAGAAAAGAGGGGATAAACGAGTGCAGCACCAAGGACGTGAAGCCCATAAAGACAGGGAAAGTCCATATAAAACTCAAGCGAGTTTCCATCCCAAGACGAACTGGTGAAAGGAGAAGTAGCTCATTAGACTTTTAAATTAGGCTTATTTTTCCTATATATAGGATGTGGGACAACTCTTATGCCCCTCACTTGTGAGTCCTTCATAAGAAGCTCAACTAGAAAACGAGTACGTAATCGCACGATCCCACTTAGAACCGGCTCTAATACAATGTAAAAAAAAAAGGGTGAAAAACAAGTGCGGCCTCATGCACGTAAAGCGCACTATAAGCAGGAAAAGCCCGATGAAGCTCAAGTGAGGTTCATCCCAAAACTAATTGGTGGTAGTAGGAGTATTTCATTAGACTTATAAATTAGACTTATTTTTCTTATATAATGATGTGAAACAACTTACAAGTAAATATTCTAATATGCCTCTCACTTGTGAGTCATTCAAAAGAAGTCCAAGCCCAACTAAGCCGGGAAAAACGAGTACGTTATAGCACGGTCCCAATAGAACTGACTCTGGTACCATGTAAGAAACGGGGAAAACGAGTGTGAAGCACGGTCCCAATAGAACCGACTTTGGTACCATGTAGAAAACAAGAGAAACGAGTGTGGTCCCACGCACGTGAAGCGCACGATAAGCAGGGAAAGCCCAGATGACGTGCAAGTGAGGTTTCATCCAAAACTAATTAGTGGTAGGAAGAGTAGCTTGTTAGACTTATAAATTAGACTTATTTTCCATATATAAACGATGATAGACAACTCACAAGTGATTATTCTAATAAGAGTTATAATCTATTTTTTACCTCTTTTAATCAACATTGGTTTTTCAACCTGAACATTAAATATTAACATGTTATGGTAGCTTGTAAAATAATTAAGTCTCAATTACACCTTCACTCGACTGAATTCCGAGGCTCGATATAATTGACCTGCAGAAATTGTGACGTTGCGTAGGACCTAGACTTCTGTCTGCCATGAATGTTGTATTATCTCAATAACACATTTATACTATTATGAATTCGACTTTTAGTATATATATTTATCCTTGATATAAGATAAAATACAATTTTACTTGTTCTTGTTCACCACTTAAAATAATACTTAATTATTATTTTATTATATACTTTGTTGTTATATAATGACTATTGTAGCACAAATTGTTATTTTTTACCGAGTACCGAATCGAAAGATTCGTTCCCCGGGTCGATCTCACGAGGAAGGCGGTTCGGAATTCAGCTTTGGAATCAATCACACATAAAAAGAAAATAGATCCTAAACACTCTAATCAGATAGATGTTTGGATGAATTATTAACTAAGAAATAAAATAAAAATAATAATCTACCTAAAAATGCAAATGAAACAAAGATGGAGAAGCTAGGGAGTCGGAAAATTAATTCAAGTTCTACTCGCACACCGGGCCATGAATCATTCTATTCTAGATTAATGCTCTCGCTTAAACATCTAGCGGTTCTCTCCCAATAACTCTTCGTAACAATGGATTGAACATAGACGAACAAACTCGGGCATACGACACATGCCAATTGTCCCAATCCCAATAACTTTTCGTAACAAGGGATGGGTCATCGACAAGCGCGTATTTCAACAAAAAACTTATAGACTAATCAGTTACGACATCGTCTACCTAATGCAAGCCTAGGTCTACGACTTCTCCCCTTTCGGGTCTAAAAGTCGCTAATTCAATTAGAAGAAGTTTAATCAACTAATCACATAGAATCAACAAACCCTAACTCGACAAATTAACATCCAATTGTCACCAATAGCAAGATCGAAATGTCATTTTTCGATTATATCAATCTATGGAACAAGAATTCAACAATTCTGAATCAATTCAACCCACACAAGAACGAACAATTCAAGCCCGAGAGATACGAATTAAACAAGAACAATATCCCCTATTCCTAGCAATAAGAATTAGCTACGCAATATCAATTCAACACAATCAATCATCTCTCTCAATTCAATCATTTTTCATGAATTAAAAATAAAGAGAAGAACTTACAATAAATCACAATTCGAGTGTTGAATCCAAAATTACAAAGCTTAATCCTTGAATTCCAAGAAAAAGAGGAAGAAAAATGGAAGAGAAAGATGAAAGAAGAAGGAAGAAAGGAGAAGAAGGGGAAGAGAGGAGTTTTTGCGTGTTTTATTGCCCTAGGTTTGTCCCCAGGAGGGGAGAGAATAATCCCAACGAAAGCTAAATTTTTCTATTTAAAAGCTGCCTGTCGCGCCCTCCGCGGGAGCGGAGCTTCCCGCTGGCCGCGGTGAGCAAAGGCTCCAAGGCCGCTACTATTCTCGAGGCCGCGACATTTTTCGGCAGAAGGTTGCGCTCTGGCAGTTTTTTTGTTCGCCGCGGCCGGGGTGAAGAAAGGGGTCGCGGCCGCGGCGAAGAAAACTGGGCTGCACTGCACGACTTTACGATTTTTGCTCGTTCGGGTTCGTTTGAACTCGGAATTGAGTTCCGTTTTTTTTCTACGCGTCGCTAACGAACCCCTCTATCTACTATGCAAACCCATCAAATATTTTCTTGAAAAGCTGTCCTCCCAAAGCTTATGACATGCACACCAAAAATGTGATTTGCGCGACTTTGCTGTTTGAGCCCGTTCGGGCTCGTCCGAGCTCGAAATTGAGTTCTGCTTCTTCCTATATGTCGCCAACAAACCCATCTTCACAACCATGATTTCCCGATCAATTTTTAGGCTAAATCCATTTCTCACGGGGCTTCCGACCTGCACACCAAAAACAAAAGAAAATTGGAAAAACACACGAGAAACAAAAGAAATACC